CCACTCCCAATTATCTCAAATAAACAGTGGGGTATGGTTTTTGTTTTTGTTGGGTTTTTTTTTGGCTGTGCTGAGCACACAAGCTTTCTCTACTTGCAGCACACAGGTTTAGTTACCCCTCAGCATGTGGGATCTTAGTTCCCTGACCAGGAATTGAAACCACATCCACTGCATTGGAAGGGGAATTCTTAACCACTGGACCACCAAGAAGGTCTCTAAACACAGCATTTGCTTTTCAAAAAACACCTTCAAGAAAAGTTTATTTTTTTGATCCCTTCTAGTAATTAATTCATTCCCCCCAATCCCTCCTATGTAGACATTCTAGAATATCCACTGATAATCTCTTAAATAGATCACTGCAAACCTTGCTCACAAAGAATATAAACTCCCACATAGCATCTGATATCCACCCCTGCACGTTATATTCCCCATCCAGATAGTCTTATAAATATCCTGTAAATATTTAAGATGTTCAGATTTTCACTAAAGTCTTTTAAAGAATTGAGGACTATATGTATATTTTAAGATGTTGGCACATGTCTCCATAGCTCTTACAATCCTTTTTTTATGATTTTAGTCACTGTTGGCTTTTAAGAAATTCACCTTCATTACTAACTAAAGTATATCCACCCTTCAGCTACATTTGGCTCTATTCGTTTTAAAAGGCTAGATCTATGTTTACAGCAGCAACTACATTATTCAGCAGGAGTACAGATAATGTAATTTCTTACTGTCTTCTTTCTGTATACCAGGCACAATGCTAAATTCATTTACATTAATCCCATTTAGCTTTCACAATAATCTGAAGAAACCGACACTCACAGAGGTTAAATTACCCAGAGAATCTCTGCTAGTACTTGCTAGTATGTTGCAAAACCTGCACTCAAATTAAGATTCCTTTCTTAACTAGGACCAGAAAATGCTGAATGAATGCTGTTTGGCTTTGGTATAAAGAAGGTTCAGGGTTCTATTTGATTCTAATTTGCATTTGTACAGCTTTTTAAAATAATACATCTTCCTTTTATTTTTTATTGGAGTATCGTTGTTTTACAATGTTGTTACTTTCTGCCGTACAAGGAAGTGAATCAGCTAGATGTACACATACTCCCCCACCCTCTTGGACTTCCCTTCCTCCCTACCCCCATCCCACCCCTCCTAGGTCATCAAGGGACAGCAAGCTGAGCTCCCCGAACTGTAGAGCAGGCTCCCGCTAGCTATCCATTTTGCACATGGTGGGGGCTTGGCGAGCTAAGTCCGTGGGGTTGCAAAGAGTCACACACGACTGAGCAACTAAACACAGCACCCAGCACAGTGAATGTATATCAAGCCCAATCTCAAAATTCACCCCACCCCCTCCCTCCACCTCCCCCATGTCCACCTATCAATTCTCTAGGTCTGTGTCTCTACTCTTGACCTGTAAATAGATATACCTGTACCATTTTTCTAGATTCCACATACATACATTGTGAAGTGAAAGTCTCTCAGTCGTGTCTGACTCTTTGTGACCCCATGGACTATACAGCCCATGGAATTCTCTAGGCCAGAATACTGGAGTGGGTACCCTTTCCCTTCTCCAGGGGATCTTCCCAACACAGAGATTGAACCCAGGTCTCCCATATTGCAGGAAGATTCTTTACCAGCTGAGCCACAAGGGGAGCCCACATATATACATTAATATATGATATTTGATTTTCTCTGACTTACTTCACTCTGCATGACAGACTTTAGGTCCATCCACATCTCAACAAATGACCCAATTTTGTTTCTTTTTATGACTTATATTCTATTGTGTATATATGCCACATCATCACTATCCATTCCTCTCTTGATGGACATTTAGGTTGCTTCCACATCCTGGCTATTGTAAACAGTACTTCAGTGAACTTTGGGGCACATGTGTCTTTTTAAATTATGGTTTTCTACTGGAGAGGGTGTGGAGAAAAGGGAACTCTTTTGCACTGTTGGTGGGCATGTGCAACTTGTTTTCACACCAGCTAAATAGCTGTGCTTTATATATGTCCAGCATGTCCTTATGTCAGTGCTTTTGAACATATAATTCTCTCTCTGGACATCTGTTTCATCAGATATCCATGCCGTTTGCTCTGGCCTCTCTTTCAGGTCTTCTGCCATGTTCTTCCCTAACCAGTCTGTTCAAAATAACAAACCCTTGCCAACTATGGAGATCTGGCCCTTTATCTTGATTACTTTTCTTTATAGCCCTTAACACCATTGATATGATAGATATTTTCTCGTTTGTTTATTAACTGTCTCTCCCAACCAGGATGTAAACTCAGCAAGAAACTTTATCAGCTTTGTTCAAGGGTATAACCAGTGCCTAAAATAGTGCCAAGCACATGGCAGGTACCAAATATATGTGGAATGAATGAATGAATTTTTTGTAAATAAATGAATAGCCTGGAGATAGAATTTTTTCACTAAGCCCCACGAATCCTAGAGGGAAAGCAAGCCACAGTTCTTCCAAGCAAGCAGGAGACTGTGGCCTTTCATAAACTTAGAGGGTTATCTGCAGCACTTATTCATGGATGAAGTTTGTTTTCTTAAATACTTTTTATTTAGACTGTCCCCTCATTGCCCAGGCAATCGGAGTTCAAGATGAAAGTGAAAGTGAAAGTCGCTCAGTCACGTCCGACTCTTTGCGACTCCATGGACTACACAGTTCATGGAATTCTTCAGGCCAGAATACTGGAGTGGGCGGCCGTTTCCTTCTCCAGGGGATCTTCCCAACCCAGAGATCGAATCCAGGTCTCCCGCGTTGCAGGCGGATTCTTCACCAACTGAGCTATCGGGTGCAGAATACTCCCCTCTAGTGGCTGATGTTGTTCCTGCAGCTCCCATTGGCCTCTTCAAGGAAGGTACTCCCAGCAATGATGGAAAAGGATTTCTCACCATCTCTTCAAAAAGAGGGCCGATAAAATTCATACTACAAACAACTGAAAGATGTCTAAGAGTTTGTGACAAAAGCCTTTTTAAAATTTTATTTTCTCAAGTAATCGTTGTTAGCTTCAGATATTTACATCAGGAGGTAAAATAGGCTGGGCCATCTTCAGAAACGATAGATCTTTGAGCAGCCCTTACACACTCACCTGCTAGCTATAATTTAAATGAAAGCCCTTGACTCAAGGGGATATTTGAAATGAAATAAATCATTTGTAAGCCAATTCATTCACTAGGTGAACCATAAGTACAAAGCCTACTGCTAAGGAGGACCAAGTTGGCCCCAACCATGGGAAAAGTCCTTAGGGTTCCCAAGAGGAGCACTGATTCTCCTTGATTCGGTCACCTCATGTTGAGGTCATCTCCTTGAGGGTTAAGAGGATGAACTCAAGGACCAGACATAAATGAAAACCTAAAATAACTCTGAGTTCCTTTATCCTGGCCTTGCAGTAGCAGCCCTCGAGTTCTCGCTCCAGAAGGATAAAATGAGGCAAATGGCATTCATGAAGATTGCCCAGATGCTGAATGAGTTTGCTATAGAAAGGCCTTTGTCTTCTATGGAGACTCTGAGTATGGACTGAGTATGGACTCAGTTCACTGATAGGGACTCAGTTTACTGAATGACAGGAGCTGCTATCTTTTAAGAGGTCAGGCATTTCCATTTTGGGAATATTTAGCAACGATCACTTTGCTAAGGTGGTGTCTGCTGTTTTTCCACCATAAAGTTCATATTCTTCACTCTGGAATTGATAAATAATTTGTGAGGAGATTTTTCTGGATATGTAAATATCCTGTATCTCTTCAAACTTTTACCCATTAATTTTAGCATCCATAGATGAATTTATAGCACAATCCAGGTTTCCATATCCCCTGGTGGCTCACGCGGTAAAGAATCTGCCTGCAATGCAGGAAACCTGGGTTTGATCCCTGGGTCAAGAAGATCCCCTGGAGAAAGGAACGGCAACCCACTCCAGTATTCTTGCCTGGAGTATTCCCTGGACAGATGAGCCTGGCAGGCTAAAGTCCCTAGAGTCACAAAGGTTAGACACAAATGAATGACACTTTCACACACATGATTAGTTACATGCTGTAACTAAGAGTTTTTTCCTCCCATAATTACTTGTTTATTTTTTGTTGGTGTCAATGTTAACTCATACATTTTTAGTTTATTCAATGGGATATAATTTATATCATCATTATTTATTTTGATGTTAAAACTTTCACATGTTTAACAGTTGAAATTCCTTCAAGTTGGCTTGCCAGTTCTCTTGATATGAAAGACCTAAAACAATTAAGCCATTAAGTGTATGGTGTGTGTATGTATATATGTGTGTGTGTGTGTGTATAAATATTATATATTTATAATTACACAAGTGTATGTTTATATGTTATTAATATAGTAAATATATAATATATTAAATATATTTGTGTGTATATTTATATGTGTGTATATTAATAGTATGTCAGTAATTATATATATTGTATAATCTTAATTTTAAATTGTATATTAACTTTATTGCTCAGTTACTAAGTTGTGTCTGACTCTTTACAGCCCATAGTGTACATTATTGATATTATAATATTAATATACACATATATATATACTTTTATAATATAGCAAACTTAAATATTATAACATTATTTTCTTATTTATATGTGATAGTTATAATTATATATAATTAAATTAATCATTGTACTATACATTCTTCCTGGGGCACTTCCAATATCCTCTGACCCCACACAAGTCTAATGATAATGGTAACTACACAAAAGCAACAATAGAAGGCAAACGTTATTCTTCCTCTGTGTCAGACATTCTGCCATCTGCTTCTTGTGCACTATTTTACTTAATCATAACAAAAATACTATTTTTTTCATGAGGAAATCAAGGCACAGAAAGGTTAAGTAACTGGCCAAGGTAATCAAGTTAGCAAGCAACTGAATCGAAGTTTGAACACAGGTCTGTCTAACTTTAAGCCTTCAAACACATTAGGGATAAGACAGGTGCAGAACATTACATGCTGCTGAAATTCACTTTTCTGTAGGTCCCAGACCTGTGGTGTTACTGCAGCATGGCCTGCTGGGAGATGCTAGCAACTGGATTTCCAACCTGCCCAACAACAGCCTGGGCTTCATTCTGGCAGATGCTGGTTTTGACGTGTGGCTGGGGAACAGCAGGGGAAACACTTGGTCTCGGAAGCACAAGACCCTCTCCATAGACCAAGATGAGTTCTGGGCTTTCAGGTATATGTAAATCTTGAGAGTGGAGGTGGACATGGATGTCTTTGGGAGAACTGAGTAAAGAATTAGAACTCCTGGTATTAAGATAATTTACTTTGGTTGGCCCATCAATATCCCAACACTATGTCCCCCAATTGTCATAGTTGACTAATGATTCTCTGGGGAGAGTAAATTGAGTTCCCCAAGTAGAAGGTTGTTGTGGCCAGTGGGATAAGAATGATGGTTAGTGTCAGATGATGGAGACTGGAATGGGAGAAATGTAGGTCCATTTCCTTGTAGATGGATATCCTGGGACTGACTCTTCCCTAAGTGATGACTCTGGCCCCCAGAAGAAGATGAGGACAGGAGTGTTAAAGATATAAAGGGAATGAATAAGCTTTAGGGGCCATCAGCTTGGTTAATAGATCTCTCACACTCTTACAAAAGTGTTTTTTAATGTTTTTATTTGAATGATCTATTGATATTCAACTTTCTGTTTATCCATTTCACCAGAGAAGGGACCCTACAGCATCTTTAATACATTTCATATAAAGAATCTGCATGGGAATTCCCTGGCAGTCCAGTTGTTCAGACTTCATGTTTCCACTGCAGGCAGTATGGGTTTAATCCCTGGTTGGGAACTAAGATCCTGCAGGTCGCCTGGCATGGCCAAAAAACCAAACAATCTGGTTGGCCCTATGCTATTCTGCTAGGCGAATAACGAGGACACCTCCCCCAGGAGGTGGAGTTTTTGCTCACTAAATGTTGATTAAGACAGTTATTTCTCTATGATAGTATCTAGAGAAAACAACAGTTTGCTAACAGCCCATGATTCCAGAGGCACCCACGCATCATGGGTTTGAAACAAGTCCATCCTGAGTATTGTGAGCAGCCCAGTAACAAGCTGATGGATGGGACTGACAGCTCAAGGGTGTTTGTAAACCCTGGGGGGCTGCTTTTTTTTGTTTCTGGTTATAATTTTTCATATAACTTTGTTTTTTCCCCTTGTAGCTATGATGAGATGGCTAGGTTTGACCTTCCTGCAGTCATAAACTTTATTTTGCAGAAAACGGGCCAAGAAAAGATTTATTATGTCGGCTATTCACAGGGCACCACCATGGGTAAGTTCCAAAAAAGTCAGGTTTGTATATTCAGGAGAAATGTGACCGTATATGAGCACAGCCAGGCCAGGCATCACAGACTTCTCTCAGATATGGCTTCTTCAGGGCCATGAGATTCTGATTTCTCCCTGCCCACCCTCCTGCCCCACAACATGCAAATATCAGCTTAGACAGAGAGTATGCAGGCCCTTTTAAAATAGACACATAGTATTTCCAATATAATGGCAATGCCCTGGCTGTCTATTAATAGTATTTTTCTCCCAAAGGCTCGAGAAAGATGGTCCCTTTGCAATCTGGGGTATTAGTCTCTATTTTATAAGTATGGAAATTGAGGCACAGACTGACTTTACCAGTATCCCATTCCTCGTCTGTGGGCACAAATAAGAACTGGAATCCAGTTCACTGGACAATTTCTCTATTAGTGTGTGTGAAAGTCTCTCAGTCATATCAGACTCTTTGCAACCCCATGGACTATACAATCCATGGAATTCTCCAGGCCAGAATATTGGCATGGGTAGCTGTTCCCTTCTCCAGGAGATCTTCCCAACCCAGGGATTGAACCCAGGTCTCCCTCATTGCAGGCAGATTTTTTTAGCAGCGGAGCCACCAGGGAAGGCCAAGAATACTGGAGTGGGTAGCCTATCCCTTCTCCAGCAGATCTTCCCAACCCAGGAATCGAACCGGGGTCTCCTGCATTAAAGGTGGATTCTTTCCCAGCTGAGCTACTGTGTTCCAATTTGGGCTCCAGAAAAGTTAGAGATCCAAGAAAATCAGCAAAACTCTGTTATCTCAATACCCACTATGTTAGAGAACATGGTTTTTATCAATAAACAAGAAAATGTCTTTCATCCTTGATGTCTCTCACTATAAAGATTTATTTAAAAAAAACCTCACAAACATCTGAAAATTAAGTAAGACCCATGAAAGTCTCCTGCAAAGTGTCTAACATATAGTTACCTCTCAATACACGTATTTTCTCAAAATCCATATTATTGGATTCAATAATTTAATAATTCACTGAGAACCTAGTAACGGGCAGCAAGTATCCAAAATATCAAAGGAAGCTCAGAGATGTGGTTGCTGCTGTTGTTTTTGCCTGTCGAGGACCTTATAATTTCTCAAGAGAGTTAGAACACACATAATTACTTAGCTAACAACAAAATATTAATGAAACATCTTGGTAGAAGTAAAATAGGCATTTTATTTGCTCTAGGATATTCAATATCCATGTTGACATATTTCTTTTTTGCAGGCTTTATTGCATTTTCCACCATGCCAGAGCTGGCTCAGAAAATAAAAATGTATTTTGCTTTAGCACCCATAGCTACTATTAAATATGCAAAAAGCCCTGGGACCAAATTTTTGCTGCTGCCAGATATGATGATCAAGGTATGTGACTCCTCAGAAAATTTCTTGTCTATGCACAATAGTTTTCCAGCCCATTGGCTAGGAGATACACTTTTACATTAGAGACACTTCTTTTCGACTATAATGACTATTTCATGTTTTTACAGGGATTGTTTGGCAAAAGAGAATTTCTCTACCAGACCCGATTTCTCAGACAGTTTGTTATTTACCTTTGTGGCCAGATGATTATGGATCAGATTTGTAGCAACTTCATGTTACTCCTGGGAGGATTTAATGCAAATAATATGAACATGGTAAGTGGCAGCCTAGTCAATTCTCAGTGTCCCAGAACAAAGCGAACAGTTGTTATTCCCTCTCCTTGAGGGTGAGCTAATGCCAAGGAAGACAGAGAAGTGATGCTCCTAGAAACTCAGTTTTCTTCAAATCATAATACTATGCAGAAAATACTTTAACATGGGCTAAGTCAAGTTTAACATAACAACAGGACTACACATTAACTCCATAGATTCAAGATTGAAGAGGTCTGAAAGCAGCTTTACTATAGTGAATTAAATCTGCAAAAATATGTGATTAGAACCCATAAGTCAAAAGAGAAAACTACTGTGCATCACCCACTTCTTCTTTTTACTCAGACCTTTCCGGTTTGTAGTTTAAGTGCTGTGATAGGCTGTCTGGGAGTTTGGCTAAGACATAGCTTCCCAGGGCTTCCCAGGTGGTGTTAGTGGTAAAGAACTTGCCTGGCAATGCAGGAGATGTAAGAGACACAGGTTTGGTCCAAGGGTTGGGAAGATCCGCTAGAGGAGGGCATGGCAACCTACTCTAGTATTCATGCTTGGAGAATCCCATAAACAGAGGAGCATGGCAGTTTATGGTCCATAGGATTGCAAAGAGTCAGACATAACTGAAGAAACTTAGCACACACAAGGCATAGCTACCGTTTGGTGAGTATGACAGTGGGTTCCCCAGGAAGCATACTCTGAGATGGAGATTCATGTGCAAAATTATTTGGGCTGTGGCCTTGGAATAACACCTAGAAAAGGGAAGGCAACAGGGTTTGGTAGATCAAAAAAGTCCAGCTGAGATGTAGCCTCAGTGGGAACTTCAGTTGACCCCCTAGGGATCTGTGAAGACAGGATGACCCTTCAGAATTGTCCCAAGTTAGCATGAGAGGGCTGGGTCTTTATAACCCCCACATCAAAAAATCATTTAATGCAGACAGCACCAGTCATGGGGAGGCATTGGGCAGTGCAGCTCTCTGCAGAGGGGACAGTCCCCTAAGGACACCAGACAGCAGAGGGCTATCTGTCAACAGCGGGAGGAACCTGTTTTTAATTCCTAAAGATTTTTTGCAGTTTTTTTAAATCAAAGATATGATGAAGAGCTATCATTTGATAAGCATTTTATTGTATGCCAGGCTATTATTCCCTATAACAACCTTATGAGATGGGTATTATCAATATTCCCACTTTTCAGATTAATAACCTGACATTTAGTGGATTAAGATATGCTCTCAATTTCTCCTAAAAATTAAACAGCAGAAGTGAGATTTGAATGCAGTCTCAGTTCTTGAGTCTTTATCCTTAATTACTTTAGGAAAGCTTTTTAAAAGATAAAGTCAGATGTCTAATGAGAAACTTTTCTTAGATGAAAAATATAGGTGCTTGTGACATGTTTAGGGTCATTTTTAAAATTATGTGCATGTGTAGTTTCCTATTTCATGGATAAATGCTGAGACTTTAATGATGTTACCATTTCTGAGTTTGACACCCTGAAGATTTGATCTTAACAAGGTACAAATCTTGTGAACTTTTCCATGTATGTCCCACAAACTACTCATGCTTTGTTACAGAGCCGAGCAAATGTCTATGTCGCTCATACTCCTTCAGGAACATCTGTGCAAAATATCCTGCACTGGAGTCAGGTAAGGATGCTGAATTTGTAGTCTTTGTTTAAGGTGTTTGTGCAGTTTATCTGGAAAAGTCAAAGAATGCTCCTCGGAGAGCCCAGGAGTTGTTTCACCTTTAATACAAGATGACACGTGATCCTGTCAACACTATTTCAACTGTGAGTTTGATCTAGAACACTGAAACTTTTCAGGATATGGGAGGAAAGGATTGGCCCTAGGACATCTTGAGTATACTTCTGCAAGTGTGAATTCAGGCGGTTCAGGTGAGACATTTTCAGTCTCTAGACACCTCAAAGATGAGACTGGAGATAGGCTTTTCCAGCAGGACAACATAGTCAAGTAGAAATAAAAATGCAAACGCAGGTCTAATTCCCCAAAGAGGTTTCCACAAGAAGTCCTTTGTGCTGTAGATTTCACCTGCAGGCAAGGAAGGAATGTCCTGATTAACAGTCACAGGAACTATCTCTAGGCACAGTGTGATGAGTTTGTTCGGCATTGGTTCAAGGAACAATGTGACTGCTAATTATTTTTCACATGTGAAGAAGCAACAAAACTAATATTGCTCATTATAGATGATACTATAGAGTGACCCCAATCGGCTGTGGGAATAAAAATGCACATAGGCCAGAGAGTTAGAACCTCACTAACCTTAGACTCTCACTTATTAAAAATACCCTTGGAGAAGGGAATGGCCACCCACTCCAGTATTCTTGCCTGGAGAATTCCATGGAAGAGGAACCTCATGGGCTCTAAAGTCCATGGGGCTGCAAAAGAGTCAGACATGATGCAGCGACTAATGTATGTACATATATACTAAAAATACTACTTTGTTTTTTAAAATGGGTGACTTTTAACTCAACAAAAAGTTGTAATAGTGATGATGACATTAATAAATCATAAGTATTGGTCCTGTCCACTTTGCTAATTTAGAACCTAGTCAAATTGTTCTTCAAAGGTCATTGTTATATTTTAGTAGATGTGTGTAAGAGCAAGAAAGAGATAGAGAGAGAGAAGAGTAGGGGGAGGCATTTTATCATCAAAATCAAAGAAGAATTCTAAACTGCATTAAATGTTGGTCATCTTCTTCCAGAATCACTACATTGCACAAATGTAGGGGCTACTCTCCCACTGTAGGTTTGTGCAAGATATCTGCCTACATAGACTACGATGGGGATACACTTTCTGGGGTTGTATAATATGGTGGTCAAGTATTTCTATAGCACATTTTTCTTTCCTGAAGGACCTTATTCTTGTCTTTACACTCTCCTGAAGACTATCCTGAAGTTGAATGGAAAGTAGCCTCAGGCTTTGTTCTCTGCTTCCCTCATAACTGCAGACTTGGCAGCATGTTTTCAACCCTCCTCCCACCTTTATCCCTTAACACATTTGAATGCCATCTAAATTTTTGTTTCCTTTTAGGCTATGAATTCTGGGGAACTCCGAGCATTTGACTGGGGCAGTGAGACCAAAAATCTGGAAAAAGGCAATCAGGTAAGAAAATCAAATACCAACTGCTGAAAATATATCCTTTTGAAATGCATGAGAGAAAAGTTATACTGGCAGTTTATTCTAGAAATGGGAATAAAGTACAAGAAATCAAGTAGAATAGAATACTATTCAGCCATAAAAAAGAATGAAATAATGTCATTTGCAACAATATGGATGGACCCAGAGATTATCATACTAAGTATGTCAGAAAAAGAAAGGAAAATACCATATGTTATCCCTTATATGTGGCATCTAAAATATGACACAAATGAACTTATCTACAAAGCAGACTTACAGACAAAGAGAACAACAGACTTGTGGTTGCCAGGGCAGAGGGGTTAGGAGAGGCATTGACTCGAAGTTTGGGATTAGCAAATGCAAACTATTATATATAGGATAGATAAACAATGGTGTCCTACTGTATAGCACAGAGAACTCTATTCAATATCCTGTGAATATAATGGAAAACAAAATGAAAAAGAATATACATCTGAATCATTTTGTGGTACAGCAGAAATTAACACAACATTGTCAATCAGTTATGTGCATGGCATAAAATAAATTCTTAAAAAAGAATTCAAGTAGAAAGTAATAAGTTCTGGTTCAACTTCATTTAAGAATGAGAAAGTTCAAAGCTTTGACAAGAGACTTTCAGAGGTTAAAAAAAACTGTTATAATGCAGTAGGAGGACTTTTCTGATGATGCTGCCTCTGTGAACAAGACACTGGGCCTCTTAGGAGCAAGATTGGGTAGACAGTGAAGGGAAGGGTGTAGTCTGGTGGCTGCTAGAAGGATCTTTCAAGATTTAAAAACAACAGTGACAACAGAAAAAGAAATGAAGATGGCAGGAGTGAGTCTGGTTCATGGTACAGTAAGAAGAGTATTAATAACAAGTGAGAATTACTGCATTAGTTTTGCCTCTGCCCTACAAAGTTGTGTAATGATGGCTAGATGGCTTTGATTCTTCAGGCCTCAATCTGTTTCTCTTTAAAATAAAAATTATTGGATGAGGTAACTTTTAAGAGTTCTGCCTGGTTACGCTTTTAATGAATCTGTAATCTGCAAGTGAAAAATATGAAAAAATATTACCCAAGAAAATGTGTGTGTAATCAATGCTATGGACTAAAATTTAAAGTAAAAGTAATGGGCATCAAACTTTTCTGAGCATAAAATCTTCTCTGAAGTTTATTGGTTAGCTTGTATATGAATGTAAACAGATATTGACCACACAAACATAAAGCTGGAGGGAGCAGAATACACACATAGGTGAATCTTTGAGAGTCTCACATCATACTTAGCGTCCACTTTTCAACAACAGTCTAAATGTAAAAGTCTAGGAAACTGGAGAGACCGTTGCAATGCCCCCGAAGAGCAAACTCTCAATCACGAGTTTCAGCTATATATTTTTAGATCCTTCTTGTTTCCTAAAATATATCTTTAGAGAAAGCATACCAGTTCCAAGATAGATTTAATTAATCAATATTTAAGGTCATAAATTAGAAAGTGAAGCATGCAAAATAGGTGACAGAAAATGTCATGGAAAGAAAAACACACATACCAAAAGGTATTATGACAAAAAGATATCATAGAAGCACATAGCCTTAGAGCCAGTCCTGATATTCAGTTCAATCATTTCACCTGTTAGATGAGAAAAACATACTATAGGTTCCATAGACTATTCCAACCTTTCACATGTAGTTACTGTATAAAAGTGGATCTGACCACAAACGTGAATGAAGACCATATACATATGTCTTATTATAACTCGCAGTATCAGATGCTATACCTTCAAATTCTTAAAAGCCACAAAGAGAAATGAAGACTCCCAGGATTGGAGCCCTGGATCCAGGGTTGATTTTCTGAGTGAGAAGTGGGCCTGGACATTTCTGTTGAAAGTTCTTGGTGTTTATTAACATCAAGGGCTCTCAGCCAACCAAACTGATCTGGTATTTCTGTTTGAATAAGAGAAGATCTCAAGAACTAGGAATCCTAGATATCTTTTCTCTGGGTGATGGGTGACTAGAGCAGGGATCTAATTCTTACCACTTCTGGGTTCAAACTCCCCAAGTTTCAGTGCCATTAGCTTCCCCATGTTTCTGGAGACACAGGACAGAAAACCCCTGTGAACACCCAAGTCCTTCTCAGTAGGTTCCATCCTCTTGCCTTTCTCTGTAGAATCTCTTCAATCTGATCTCATGAAATGCTGTGAAATTATTTTTGAAAAAGACAGGAGTATTATCTTTTAAAGGCAATTTATATACTAAATATTTACTAATAGGGAAAGAATTGAACATGCAATGCCAAAGGTGCTGGGCAATTGAGGTGTTTTCCCATTTAACTTGGTAAGTTATTCTAGGCATCATCCACATTTTGCAGATGAAGAAACTGAGGTTAAATGAGGTTAAGCAGGGGCTGGAGTAGAAACTCTTAATGCAGTTTTGTATGGGTCCAGTGCCCATGCCCCTTTCATCACAACACAGAGCACATTGACTGTGTTTATTAGAAAAGTAAATGATGAGTTTGGAAGTCCAAATGTTATACAGTTAAAAACTATTTCTTTTCTCTAGCCAACTCCTATAAGGTACAAAGTTAGAGATATGACAGTCCCTACAGCGATGTGGACTGGGGGTCAGGACTGGCTTTCAAATCCGGAAGATGTGAGAACACTGCTCTCTGAGGTGACCACCCTCATCTACCATAAGAACATTCCTGAATGGGCCCACGTGGATTTCATCTGGGGTCTGGATGCTCCTCACCGTATGTACAATGAAATCATACATCTGATGAAACAGGAAGATACCAGCCTTTCCCGGGGAACTATCAGTATAAGCTTGTGAAGCATCTGTTACTGACTAGTCTTAGGAAAAAACCTCATGAATGATGGGGCCATGAGTAAAAGATATTAAAGATTTTCAGCACTGGAAACTCACCATATTAGGAAAAGGGAGGGCTGAGATTAAGGTTAAGATTGTATTCATTCCTTTAGATTTTTGGCATTTGAGGCTAAAACTGACATTTAATTTTTTCAATTAATTGAACTACTCATTGGATGAACACAGTTTTCATGTACTATTGTGTATTCTGCCATCTTGAATGGTAGGTTTTAGCTGACAGCTAGAAATTATCTGGTCATTCTTTACGTCATTCAAATAAACTACCTTAAAACATTTATTCTTGTCTATGAGCCATATATTTGGAGCAATAAAGTAAAATGATGAATTGGGGTCAGAGGTCTTGAAGCTCCAGATGGTTGCTGAATTTGAAAAAATAAGCTAGATGTTTTTACCTTATTGCTACAGAGACATAACACTACCTCAGGAAGCCAAGTTGCTTTAACCAAAAAAGAAAAATCAATGTACAGTATAGATGAAAAGGCCAAGTTTCATAGCTGAGAGTCAAAGAAGATTATCTTCTAGAATATTTATGAGTTTTTCCAATAAAGCATGTGTATGTATTTCAGTACCTACATTCTAGCTCAAGCTTCTTTGATAATTTACAGATTGTTGCTAGGAGACCTACTGGTTACAAATGTCCAGCCAAGTTTTCTGCCTTCAGAAATGAAACACCAGGAAGAAAGTTTTAAAATATCATGAACATAATACAACATTATGCTTTGATCTTAACAGAGGTACTGTTATCAGGCAATCATACCCAGTTCGGTTAAGTTCAGTTGCTCCAGTCGTGTCCAACTTTTTGCAACCACGTGGACTGCAGCACAGCAGGCCTCCCTGTCCATTGCCAGTTCCTGGAGTTTACTCAAACTCATGTCCATTGAGTCAATGATGCCATCCAACCATCTCATCCTCTGTCGTCCCCTTCTCCTCTTGCCCTCAATCTTTCCCAGCATCAGGGTCTTTTCTAATGAGTTAGTTCTTCACATTAGGTGGCCAGAGTATTGGAGTTTCAGCTTCAGCATCAGTCCTTCCAATGAATATTTAGGACTGATTTCCTTTAGGATGAACTGGTGGGATCTCCATGCAGTTCAAGGGACTCTCAAGAGTTTTCTCCAACACCACATTTCAAAACCATCAATTCTTCAGCACTCAGCTTTCTTTATAAGCCAACTCTCACATCCATACATGACTACAGGAAAAACCATAGCCTTGGCTAGACAGACCTTTTTTGACAAAGTAACTCGTTTATATACCTGGATTTATTTCTTTAGAAAATTGTTCAATTTTCACACAGTTTCAAAGACAACAGTTATGAATTACATGGTATGGTGATTTTGCAGAACTCTGAGACCAAACTGAAGGCATTCTGGCAATTTGTTGGAAGTTTCAATTTTTTTTTTTTTAATCTTCAGAGTCACCTTATAACTAAGTTCAATGTGAATGGATCTTAGATAATGTAGTAAGAGACATTTAAGGTCTTCAGAATCTATATCTACACACAACTACTTCCCTCAAAAAGTATGTGCTTAAGGTACTGTGCAGAGTTCAGTAAATTTTCCTGGATTTTATTTTTTTATTAGACCTTTGTTCTGTTTGGAGATGGTAAATCTTTCATTCTTAGACTGCATTTATTACTACACACTGTGTAGTGCATGGCTAAAAATATTCATGATTCAGTCTTGCTTTGCAAAATTCAGTCATTTTAAAATGTGCTCATTTCTGTTCTCTCACTGACAAAGAACTTGAGACAGATATTTCAATGTTCACTTTCTCCTCTAGAAGTTTAATCCAGATACCACCTCATCACATAGTTCTTTCTTGTCAAGAATTCTTTTATTCAAATAATTTACAATATTTTTATTTTATCAATAAAAAATACACTAACAAGGTTAGTAACTGTCCTGCATTCACAAGAGGATCATAAAATTATTTTTGAACAAACAACTTGATAGTCACATAATCATGTTTGAAATCAAGATGGCTCTAATTTGTAAGCTGATAGCAAAACATCTAGAGATGTGCTGGTACACTGGCTCTTTGTAAGGGAAAAAAAAGCTCTGACTTGAAGCATTTGCCAATATCTATTGTTGATAACTGATACATGATTTTGTTGAAGTTTGAATATTTACATATAAATCTCTAAACCTACACACATACATATACCATTCTGTACGAATATATATGCTTGATTCTTGGTCTTATTACTCAAAGGAGCCTCAGAGGAACAGTTTGTCTCTTGGGGCAGGATATGGATGGGACAGCCTTTTTATAAGAGCAGCACAACTGAAAAGAGAGAAGAACACTGATCCTTTCCTTCAGAAGAGATTGACTTTGAAACATCACCTTGTTTTGACTGATGTGGAGAGTCCAACATCTTTAGTGGCTCCCCCAGAAGGATTGTGACCATGATGAACTCCACTGAGCAAAAAACATTAGAAATACAAAGCTCTTCGAAAATGTTACCCATGGCAACCAACCTTATCCCCGTACCATGGGGGTCTCCAGGTTGAGTGGTCTGCAGACCCACAGTCCAAGATTGAGACACAATCCAGGCCTTTTACTACTTCCTCATATGAGATTGCAAAGATTATGATGCTTTCCTTAGCATTAATTCAATCTGGGGAAATTTTAATCTCTGTGCAATATCCAGGGAAGTCTCACCATGCTGAGAAGAAAAAGAAACGATAATTATCACCAAGAAGGTCAAATGTCATTGCAAAGGATCTAGTAAACAGTTTAGTGTGACTGACTCACAGGTTTGGCAAGGGCTTTGAATGTCACTGGGTTCTAACTTTAACAGGATAACTTGATTCCTTAATAATTTGCTATTAACAACTTCAGGGGCAATTTATTTATGTCAACACAAGGCCAGCATTAGAAGGTGATGCTGATAGAAGGACCTCAGACCATGGTCCACAGATCCTTACCTTATTCTTTATCATGGGGTTTGCATGGGCTTCAAGGAGCAGAGGAATGAGAGTCTGGTTTTTCATTTCACAGGCATAGTGTAGCGCGGTGCAGCCATACTGAAACACAAAAGACCAACAATGCAACGGATCCATCGGAACCCTTACACACTGTACACGTGGCTTCTTTAGCAAGTACTTTTCACATTTTGTCTTGTACAACTAAGCCAAATCAACAGTCTGCAAACCATCCACATGCAATTACATTTCTTAAGCTCAAAAAGTCTGTTGTGCCTCAGTGTGTATATTATCAACATCCTGTAAGTCATCCATATCTTCCCTTCTTGTTTTCTGCTCCAGACTAAATAAATTCTGCTTACAAAAGGCTAATGCTGAACTATCCCAAGGTTTCTTTCTACAATTCTGGGCAATCACCACCTTGATTATGTTACCATCTTTTCTCTTAAAGAGGTCCCAAGTTTTTACAAATATCATCCTTTATTGTTCATAATCAAAATCCCTCCAGTCTGAAGAAGGTTGCTGGTGCTCAGATGTTATAGCACACCTACAAGATCAGTGTTGGTCCACATAGCCATTGCCCATCCTTGCTTTATTGTAGCTTATATTATGTATTATACAGTAGCAGATCTACTAGGAGGGTCTAATTTAAAACACAACTGACAGTCAAAGGAAATTTATGGAATACATGTAAATCCATGGCTAATTCATTTCAATGTATGACAAAAACCACTGCAATGATGTAAAGTAATTAGCCTCCAACTAATAAAAATAAATGGAAAAAAAAAAGCAGCCAAATAACTATGATTTTGAATAATAATATTCAAGAAGTGAAGAAATATTATGCTTCACTGTCAAGACTAACAAAATTGACTCTGGATCTTATTCCCCAGAAATTCTTCTAAGATCATAGGAAGTAATGCTGCAACCACTTATTTTTTATTAAATGATAACTTGTTAAATGAAGATCTGGATATGAATTTTTCCATATGAAATAAATAGGACCTAATTACCTAAAAATGCACTATACTGCATTACTTAGATTTGGGAAATGGACCTTAATATTCAGATGGTTTTTGAAAAATAGTGGGGAAAGAGTGTGTCTGCATGTATGTGCTTGTGTGTATGCAAAAATGTGATTTTTTCTATCTAGAGATGGAGAGAGACATAGATAATGAGAAAAATATCCTAGGGAAATTTCAGTCATAGGCAAAGTTTAAACCTTTTTTAAGGGGAATTAAGTTTGAAATTATATTATGAACACATTTTTAAAAATAGATACATTCTCTGTTGACTCATTTATATACATCCTTGGTGTAGCAAGTTGAAAATCATCAACTACTAAGTTAGAAACTAAGAAGCTCTGGATGAAAAGATCTTTCAAGACATTACATGCGTTTTACATATTTTTAGTTGTACAAATAACACTAAATAAGCAGAATCTTGAATTAGACAAGACATCAGAAGTCATCCAATACAGTCTCTAACAACAAATGGTTAGACAATACTTAAAGCAAAAACTATTTGAAAAAAAGAAATACACCCTTTGAATCGAAATAAGAAGACCAAGCAATACCTGCAACAAATCTTTTAGGTTTCTAACATCTTACTTAATACATTTCAAAGTTATCTAAGAAAATGATGATGTACAGTCTATCCAAATTAATCCAACAATTCTAACTTAAATAAAAGGGAAAACATTCATTTCATAAATGTATTCTCTTGGGCATTCTCCTCCTGTATCTCTCTCTCTCCTCACACACATACACACACACACACACACAGAGTGTGCTACTTCCATTTAAACAATACCAATATAACCAAAATTAAAATTACAATAATGCAAACATGGGTGGGGACATTTTCTCTATCACAGAAAAATGGTAATAAACATGCACACACACAGATGTACACAGCATAAAATACACAGCATGGATATACACAGCATGGATCATAAAGAAAACCTAAGAATATTGGTTTTCTTAGGATCAAATTTCAACTTGCCTGCCCTTTCAATAA